GACAGATTATAGGGTGCCTGGTGGCTCAGATGGTTAAGCATCTGCCTTCGGCTCAGGTCGTGATCCCAGGGTCCTGGGATCGAGAACCGCATCGGGCTCTCTGCTCCTCGGGAGCCTGCTTCTCCCTCTGCCTCTCTGTCTCTCATGAATAAATAAATAAAATCTTAAAAAAGAAAAAAAAGACAGATTATAACAAGTGGGGGAGAGGATGTGGAGAAATTAGAACCTTTATACATTGCTGTGGAGAATGTAAAATTGTGCCATCACTTTGGAAAATAGTCTGGTAGCTCCTCAAAATGTTAAACAGAGTTAGCATATGACCCAGAAGTTTTATTCCTCTGGGGAAATGCAAACATATTGTCCACACAAAATAATGTTTGTAGTAGCATTTTTCATAATAGCCAAAAAGTGGGAAAAACCTAAATGTTCATCACACTTACTGACAATAAAAAAAATGAAATACTGATCCATGCTATAACATGGATGAACCTTGAAAACATGATGCTCAGTGAAAGAAGCAGACAGAAAAGGCCACATATTGTATGATTTCATTTATGTGAAATGTCCAGAATAGGCAAATTTATAGAGACAGAAAGGTGGTTAGTGGTTGTCTAGGGCTGATAGATAACCTCATCTTGGAAGAAACATACTTCCACTTCTGCCATATTCTCTAGGTCACATAGACCAACCCTGGGACAACACACAAGGGCACGAACACCAAGAGACGGGGATTGCTGGGGGCCATCTTGAACCATGATCTCATATACACGTCATACTACAGAAACAAAAACCAAACAGTGGCAGAGACTGCTTAGTGTCCCCTATTATCCTCCCCCTTTTCTATAGTAATAAACCCCTCCTCCCCAATTTTAAGCTGGGCTCATGGATGCCTCCATTGAAAGAAGACTTCAATTCCTAGCCCACTTTTACAACTAGGTATTGCTGTTTGATTAAGGTCTGGCCAAAGGAAAATAAGAGGAAGTGATGTGTGTATCATTCCAGAGTGTGTTTATTAAAGAGTGGGCTATGACCCACTACTTCCTTTTATCCTGCTGCTTGCAGTATGAATGTATTGCCTGAAGCTCCATCTTGAACCATGAGAGCCAGGGTTGCATTCTAGGGCTGGTAGAGCAGAGGGCTAGAAGTAGCCTGGGTTCCAGAAAAGTGCAGATTTGCCATATGAGCCTTATGATCCTTAATTCTGGATTATGATATATTCTGTTTTGTTTAAGCATCTGAATAATACAATATGTAGGGGATAGAATAAATATATGGTGAAAATTATAATACTCTATTAAAGGACATAAAGGAAGACCCAAGTAAATAGACAACTGTATTATACCCACGTTTGGGAAGATAGAATATTCTAAGAAAAATCAGCTGTCTCCAGATTAATCTATAAAGACAATGTATTTTCAATAAGAATCCTGTACTGTCTCTTGTAGAATTTACTAAGTTGACTCTAAAATTCAATTGTAAGACAATAGGTCCAAAAATAGTCAAAACTATTTTTAAGGATAATAAGGGAGGGCTTTAAAGCATAGACTTAGTATCTAAAAATTAAAACAGGGGAGTGCCAAGGGGACTTCAACTGTACTTGTAACATTTAATTAAACCAAAAAATATGGATAGCAAGTTTGGCTATGTTAACATTTATTATGTTTGTGTAGTGGGTACATGGGTGTTGTTTTCTCTGGCTTTTCTTCAGTTTTGAAATATTTCATAATATCAAATAATTAAAAATGAAATACCTTGTAGGAGAAGGTGAAAGAAATGCTATGTGCCTCACTCTGAGGATTAATTCTTAGCTTATTTCCTCAGTCTTATGCTCTGTCTTGCATCTCTTAAAAACGGGCAAAGGAATATGGTGGAAGAACATGGGCTTTGGAGACATAAAACAAGAAATCTGGATTTATATGCTACTTACCCCACTCAGTGCATGACTTAGGCAAGTCACACGCCTCTCAGTCCCATTTTCCTTAGCTGGGTAACAGGAAAATATTCACTGTTACGACTGTCCTGCAAGCTTCTCTTTACCTGTGATGACTACCATTGATAACATGGACGAAGCTTCTCTCTACAGAATTGCAAGATTATAAAATAACTCAAAAGCCATGTAGCCATGTAGCAGAAACCAGATCGTTTCTGCTTAGTTCTATGATACAAAGTTTCAAACACTGCATGGTGATGTTTTCTTTGCTCTTTGATCAATAATGCTTTGCTTACATTTATGGAATCTTACAAAATTTCCTTCAAGTTATTCTGAAAAAATTTTGAGGTACTGTTAAAGTTCTGATTTGTTAAGTGTGTGATCAGGTAATGTTCTGCTTTGTCTTACAGTGGATGAAGGAGTAAGACACCTTGAGTTTATTTTATTTTAGAGAGAGAACATGTGCGTGAGCTGGAGGAGGGGCAGAGGGAGAGGAAGAGAATCTCAAGCAGGCTCCCCACTGAGCTTGGAGCCCGACGTGGGGCTCAATCTCATGACCCTGAGATCATGACCTGAGACTGAAATCATGAATCAGAGGCTTAACCGACTGAGCCACCCAGGTGCCCAAGGACACCTTGAGTTTTAGTTCTGTTTTGCCATGGACCTCACCTCCAAAGTCATGCACTTAAGAAACATTAGAGAAAGGCCTGTATTGTTATATACTTCCCTCTTAAGACCGCCTTTGCTGCATCCCAAAGGTTCTGAGCTGTGGTATTTTCATTTTCATTTGTTTCCATGAATTTTTTAAAATTCTTCTTTAATTTCCTGGTTGACCCATTCATTCTTTAGTAGTTTGCTATTTAACCTCCATATATTTGTGTTCCTCTCTTCATCCTCACCAACATCTGTCATTTCCTGACTTATTGTTATAGTCATTCTGACTGGTGTGAGGTGGTATCTCATTGCTGTTTTGATTTGTATTTCCCTGATGACAAGTGATGTTGAGCATTTTTTCATGTATCTGTTGGCCATTTGTACGTCTTCTTTGGAGAAATGTCTGTTCATGTCTTCTGCCCATTTCTTGACTGGGTTATTTGTTCTTTGGGTGTTGAGTTTGATAAGTTCTTTATAGATTTTGGATACTAGCCCTTTATCTGATAAGACATTTGCAAATATCTTCTCCCATTCTGTTGGTTGTCTTTTACTTTTATCGACTGTTTCCTTTGCGGTGTAAAAGCTTTTTATCTTGATGAAGTTCGTTTTTGATTTTGTTTCTCTTGCCTTTGAAGACGTGTCTAGCATGAAGTTGCTGCGGCTGAGGTCACAGAGGTTGCTGCCTGTGTTCTCCTCTAGGATTTTGATGGATTCCTGTCTCACATTTAGGTCTTTCATCCATTTTGAGTTTATTTTTATATGGTATAAGAAAATGGTCCAGTTTCATTCTTCTACATGTGGCTGTCCAATTTTCCCAACACCATTTGTTGAAAAGACTGTCTTTTTACCATTGGATAGTCTTTCCTGCTTTGTCAAGGATTAGTTGACCATAGAGTTGAGGATCCATTTCTGGGTTCTCTATTCTGTTCCATTGATCTATGTGTCTGTTTTTGTGCCAGTACCATACTGTCTTGATCATGACAGCTTTGTAATAGAGCTGGAAGTCCAGGATTGTAAAATTGTAAATATTTATGCCCCTAACTTGGGAGCAGCCAATTGTATAAACCAATTAATAACAAAATTAAAGGAACACACTGATAATAATACAATAATAGTAGGGGACTTTAACACCCCACTCAAGCAATGGACAGATCATCTAAGCAGAAGATCAACAGGAAACAAGGGCTTTGAATGACACACTGGACCAGATGGACTTCATAGATATATTCAGAGCATTCTATCCTAAAGCAACAGAATATACATTCTTCTTGAGTGTACATGGAACATTCTCCAGAATAGATCACATACTGGGTCACAAATCAGGTCTCAACTGGTACCAAAAGATTGGGATTATTCCCTGCATATTTTAGATCACAGTGCTTTAAAACTTGAACTCTATCACACTCGACTCCCACTGTTGGTGGGAATGCAAACTGGTGCAGCCACTCTGGAAAACATGAAAGTTCCTCAAAAAGTTAAAAATAGAGCTACGCTATGAACCAGCAATTGCAGTACTAGGTATTTATCCAAAGGATACAAACATAGTGATTCAAAGGGGCACATGCACCCCAATGTTTATAGCAGCAATGTCCACAATAGCTAAACTATGGAAAGACCCCAGATGTCCATCAACAGATGAATGGATAAAGAAGTTGTGGTATTATATATACACAATGGAATATTACTCCACCATCAAAAAATTGAAATCTTACCATTTGCAATGAAGTGAACTGAACTAGAGGGTATTATGCTTAGTAAAATAAGTCAGTCAGAGAAAGACAAATATCATATGATCTCACTCATATGTGGAATTTAAGAAACAAAACAGATGATCATAGGGAAAGGGAGGGGAAAATCAAACAAGACGAAATAAGAGAGGAAGACAAACCATAAGAGACTCTTTTTTTTTTTTTTCATAAGAGACTCTTAACTACAGGAAACAAACTGAGGTTGTTGGAGGTGGAGGGTAATAGGGATGATGGGCATTAAGGAGGGCACGTGATGTACTGAGCACTGAGTGTTATAGGCAACTGATGAATCACTGAACTCTACCTCTGAGACTAATAATACACTGTATGTTAATTAATTGATTTTAAATAAAAGAAAAGAATAAAAAATAAAAATTAGAAAAGAAAAAAATAAAAACAAAACAAAACATTAGAATCGTTAGTAAATGAATGCTCATAAAATTCTTTGAGATTAGGAGAAAAATGCCAAACTAGTCTGAAGATTGTTACCCTTTTATGACATTATCATCATCACCATCACCATCAATTACCACCTAATTGGGATGTGAATGATGACTTTTAAAGGAAAAATTGAATATGCTTTTAGATAATTTTTATTTGATGCATGTTCCCAAATGCTTCATTTCTAAATATTTCTTTCTGCTTCTTTCCTCTCTTTCTCCTGCTAGGAAAGGCACCCATGCCCAGACCTGGCTACAAGCCTCAGGAGCCCAACGGCTGCAGCTCCTATTTCCTGGGTCTTAAGGTACCAGAAAGTGTACGTACCACCATCATTATTTTCTTAGTTGATTGGTTTTAACTAAGGCAAGTCCAAGAGTTATCCCTGATGGGAGTGATCATTTATGGAATATGGCTGAGCAGTAAAATTGCTTTAAATTGGAGGGATGCCTGGGTGGCTCGGTCGGTTAGGCATCTGCCTTTGGCTCAGGTCGTGATCTGAAGGTCCTGGGATCAAGTCCCGCTCAGCAGAGAGCCTGCTTCTCCCTCTCCCTCTGCCTGCTGCTCCCCCTGCTTGTGCTCTCTCTCTCTCTCTCTCTCTGACAAATAAATAAATGAGATCTTAAAAAAAATTGGATACAGAGTAAGGGAGATAATTTTCAAAGAAAGTATCTGATTTCCTTTTATCCGAGGCAGCGCTCCCTCAGATAAGACTTTATGTGGTGAACTTTAAAATCACCACTGCAAGTATCCGCCAAATCGTAGGGGATCAAACATCACTTCATATGAAATCTGACAAGTCTGACTTATTTAAATTTAGTGAGACTTTTCCCATGATGTGCTGGAGCCTTTGGCACTGACCAGTGAAGACTTTGGCAAGTGGTTGAGATCAAGCTGGTAGCATCAAACCAGCTATGCTGAGAGCACTAAGACCATAGTATTCTACACATACCCACCCACATACAGGCATCCAGCCCCCCCACACCCCCCAATCTAACCGCTGGCTCAACATTTCTCTTCCTACTGCTGGCCGTTTCTCAAACCACTGGCCTCCCCTGAAAACAAGTAATAAACTGATTGACTTTAAGACCTCTTGGAGGCCCTTTTATCTTTTTTACTTCAGAAAAGAGGTGTTATGTAAAAGGTGGGTAGAGGGATTTCACATTTCGGTTAAGCGTCTGCCTTCGGCTCAGGTCATGATCCCAGGGTCCTGGGATTGCGCCCTTCAGCGGGGAGTCTGCTTCTCCCTCTCCCTCTGCTGCTCCTCCTGCTTATGCTCTCTCTCTCTCTCAGATAAATAAATAAAATCTTTAAAAACAAAATGCTGCCCACCAATGTGGCATTTTTGTACAAATTGGGAAAATGTCCCCTTGCCTCTTCCATTTGTCAGAAATTTATCCTAATGTACTGAGGAGAGGAGAGGAAATTTGCCATTTGCTAGACATTTTTCTTTTTTTTTTTAACAGATTTATTTATCTGTTTGCCAGAGAGAGAGAGCAAGAGAGCGAGAGGAGGAGCATTAGGGAGAGGGAGAGAGAATCTAAAGCAGACTCGTGCTAAATGCAGAGCCCAACAAGGGGCTGGATCCCACGACCCTGGGATCATAACCTGCGCCAAGACCAAGAGTCAGACGCTTAACCAACTACACCACCCAGGCGCCCTGGCTAGACATTTTTCTTAATAAATATACAAATCTGTGATGTCTTGTGGGGAGGTGCCCCCTTTGATAGGATGCTTTTGCGCACTGCACAACCTGCACAACCATGGGCCCAGCCTTGTCCACAGTCATCAGTATGTGCATGGACACAGAGGAAAGGCAATCTTTTCAAATATATATTTATATTAGAGAAATCCCCCTTTTTGGCAAATATACTCGATACCAATTTAGTAACTATGGAAGTGGTATTGAAACCTCTATGGAAATGTACAAATGGTTGGAAATGAAGATGGACACATTAATGCTTCAGCAAGGCTTGACTTGTGAACAATTTTTTCTCTTCCTCGTTCTTGAAACCTCCCCCTCCCCATCACTGTTTTTCTGTAGAGCCCTTTGTTCTAGGAACTCAGTATGAATGTCGATGCTTAGTACCAAGACGAGGATGGCCGGCGCCAGCGCTTGAAGACATACGGGGCACAGCTGGTAGCACGAACCAGATTCCTCTTCAAACTGCCCCGATCCTGTATTTTCCTATAAAACCTTTCAGCCTCTTACCCCAGGACAGGCGTGTGATCTTGGAGGCGTGAGCCGGCTGCAGCCCCCTTTGCCTGGCAAAGGAATAAACCATGGCCCTTCGTTATCCCCAAACTCTGTCTTCACGTTACATATTTTGGGAGGGGTCAGTTTTCAACAACAGTAGGCACTCTATTTCGGGAATGATGTCATTTTGTTTGTTGGTACAAGTATTGTTTCGAACTGGTTCAAGAATTTCCAATTTAGTTGACTTGAATGATAGCAACTATACTCATTGAATTTTCAGTTACCTCTGCTGTGATGTGTGTTTAGTTGTAGGGATGAGGTACAAGTAAATGGAAGGAATCAGATGATAGGAATCTGCCTAGAAATGCAGGGCCCAGGCTGAAACCTTGTCTGATGAGTTACATTACCTCTTAATGTAACAATGTGTTTTCTTTTCTTTCTCTCAGAAGGGCATTTTAAACTATCAATGTCCATATTCTGCTTTAGGTGTCCTTGGAGTAAAAGTTCAAAGAAGGGACCACTTAAGGAGACCCAAGTGAAAAGGATCTATAATAGCTGATTAATCAATCAATCCCCACTTATACTGCGAAACCAGATTTCCAGTCTCCCCTTGGGTCCAAGTCTATGAACAGAAGAACCGCAAAAGATTCTAAGATGCTCTACCTATGTCTCGACGCCCCTGTTCCAGACTATTGCACAGACCACAGAACGATCACTCTCTGTAGTCATTCATTCCATCATGTCCCTGCCTTGCTCCAGAGTTTTTATTAATTCTTACCAGTTACTTTGCAAGTCAGGGCCATCCACTGACTTGCCTTTCTCTCTAATTAAAAAGTAATAAACAAACAAACAAATACAACCCTGCTAAGCCCTTAAAAGACTAAACAAACTGACTTGCTCACATATGATTTGCTCATATCTCGTTTCTTTACCTGCTACACCCTAAGTCTACCCTCATCACTAATAAGCCTCTCCAAAAAAACCCATGTAGAGTTATCAAACTCTAGATGTGGCATCCTATGAACCTCGTTACTCAGTTTATGCCACAACATTTGCAACTGTTTATAGGATGCTTAATACATGTCTGTGTGTGTGTGTATGTCAGATCTCGCTGTTGACTGCAGTCAGCCTGCGGTCGGGAACCACGCCTGCTAGAGCCCACCCTGTTCCCTGACACGTAACACACCTTTAAAACAGTGCTGTGTGGGATGGGTCCCTGATAAATGCTGGTGAACTCTTGATGAACTGAGGCTTAATTTTTCATACTTCTGAGCTTTCAGATCCTTGGCTCAAGCAAAATCTCCCATAGCATAGGTTTTAGTTGGATTTGGAAGCCCTGCAGCTCTACCTTCTTCACTAACCTTCTGATCTCTATTCTCATCCCTATAGTGGCCTGCGAATTTGAAAATTACTACCTCTAAAAGAAAAAGAGAAAATGGGCTATTCAGAGTTCATAAACTAATAACTGAACCATGATTGAAACTTAACATCCCGTGACTGTCAACCAGATGTGTTCTCCCGAGAGACTGGTGTTTTGGAATTGATCTGAATGTATAACAGGAATTTGAGGACTGGCTAGTTCATAACAAGGAGGGCAAGGTTGCCTAAGGTCCTTAGTCTAAACGTGGCGTTTTCTTCCTTCACTTTTCCCCAGATGGACTTGGGCATTCCAGCAATGACCAAGTGCTGCAACCAGCTGGACGTCTGTTATGATACTTGCGGTGCCAATAAGTATCGTTGTGACGCGAAATTCCGATGGTGTCTCCACTCTATCTGTTCTGACCTGAAGCGGAGTCTGGGCTTTGTCTCCAACGTGGAAGGTAGGTATCTTAAGGGCATCTGCGTGTGAGCAGGGAGTTCTGTTCCTGTTTTCATACAGAAATGTATCCAGAGCCCCTTTATGCAAAGGGACCATTAGAGCTCACTGAACTTCCTTTCTAGAACACTGTGACAAACATAAGAAGGGCGAAGGAAGATTCTGGGCATTCCTTCACTAAAGTTCTTGCTGTCCTGCCCAGGAGCTGCTGGCCACACTCCTGATGGACAGGCCACACCAAAGCCGTCCCAGAGATCTAAAAATCTGTCCTTTAAGACCGGAGAAAGAGTTGCCCAACTGGCTTTTGTTATGCATTCCACTATTAAATAATTTTCCATATCAGGAGTTATTCTGTATAGGACCACTTGGTTTGGTGTAAGCCCTTTTTCCCTTATTCTGTTCTCAGTTTGGCAAAGAATTTTTAAAAATCTATCTTTTTTGTATAAAGCTCTCTGTATACTTGAGGATAATTATTTTTAAACAACTGCTTAGCCACCCAGTTTCTAGCGCTGATTGTGTAATTTCTTTTCTCTAATTCACCTTAGGAAAAGCTTTAATCCTTTAGTTTCCAAAGCCAGAACATTACATCCAGGTATTAGCATTATATATCTTTAGATGGCAAAGTTTGACATTTAAGCTTATAAGGAGCTGGCCTCATGCCACTAGAATGTCAGCAGTAGAAAGAATCTTGGACTGTTTTCATAGATCAATGTCTAGAGTGTAGTCCTAAAGGGAATGTGTGAAGGCTTGAAAATATGAATAATTAATTAGGCCCCGTAAAAGGGAGTATTACACTATCTGTACCTACAAAAGGTGAATAAGTACCTGCTGCTAATCTAGGGTCAGGTCAAGTTACTTCCTCTAAGCAACGTTCTATTGATTCTTTCTCCTAAATATCTCTTTGATATACCACTTGCCTGATTACTGCAAGTTAATCAAATCTCTGGGTCCCATCCAATCTATTTTTCCCCAGAGGGACCAGATATATTTTTGTACCACATGAATCCAGTCATTTCCACCCTCTGTGTAAGTCCTTCAACTGGTTCCTCTTCCTTGGGATTAAATCCAAACTCCTTAGTATGATATATGTAGCCTTTTCTCATCCATTACCCTACCTCTCCAGCAGCATCATGCATATTTCTGATTTCTCTCCTGACTTCTGCCATTCCAAACTCCTTGGGTTGATGGACCATATCCTTCTGCCTCTATAGTTCCCTCTGCTTGGAACATTCTGATCATTTTTGTTGTTGTTGTTAAATAGATTTATTGAGATATAATTCACATACTATACAATTGAACAATTTAAATGCTTTTAAAATATGTTCAGAGAACTATGCAGTCAGCCCCACAATCAATTTTAGGACATTTTCAACACTCCAAAAGGAAATCCCATAGCCACGAGCAAGCCCACTCCACCTTTCCCCTACCCGGCCCTTGACAGCCATAAATCTTTCTACCTCTATTGATTTGCCTATTCTGGACATTTCATATAAATGGAATCATAAAATATGTGGTCTTCTGTGACTGGCTTCTTTAACTCAGCAAAGTTCATCCATGGGGTAGCATGTATCAGTATTTCATTCCTTTTTATTGCTAAACTATATTCCATTACATGGATATAATGTATTTTCTTTATTCACCAAATGAAGGACATTTGGGTTGTTTCCACCTTTTGTCTATTGTGAACAATTCTGGTATGAACATTGATGTATGGGTTTTTGTGGAGACATATTTTTTTCATTTCTCTTTAGTATATATCTAGGAGGGGAATTCTGGGTTATAATGGTAATTTTATGACAAACTGTTTTCCAAAACAGCTGTACTATTTTACATTCCCACCAGCAATGTATTAAAGTTCCAATTTCTCTACATCCTTACCAACCCTTGTTATTATCAGTTTTTTTTAAAGTTTATTTACTTAAGCAATCTCCACACCCAACATGGGGCTTGAACTCATGGCCCCGAGATCAAGAATCACATGCTCTTCCAATGAGCCAGTCAAGTGCCCCTCTGTCTTTTTAATTATAGACCTCAGTGAGTGTGAAATTGTATCTCATTGTGGTTTTGATTTGCATGTCCCTAATTGCTTATGATGAGCATCTTTTTATGTGCTTATTGGCCATTAAATATCTGCTTTGGAGAAATGTCTATTTGGATCCTTTGCCTCTTTTTAAGCTGGGTTACTTGTCTTTTTATTATTGAGTTGTAAGCTTTCTTTATATATTCTGGACACACATCCCTTATCAAATATAGATTTCACTAATATTTTCTCCCACTTTGTGGGGTTTTTTTACTTTCCTGATGAAATTACTTGTAATGCATAAGTTTTCCATTTTGATTAAGTGCAATTTATCTATTTTTTTCTTTTGTTGCTTATACTTTCGGTGTCATATGTAAGAAGGCTTTGCTTAACCCAAGGTCACAAAGATTTGCTCTTCTAAGAGTTTCTTCTTCTAAGAGTTTTGTTTTAGCTTATACATTTAGGTTTATGATCTACTTTTAGTTAATTTTTACATATGGTGTAAGAAAGAGGTCCAACTTCATTCTTCTGTGTGTGTATATACAGATGTTCCTGCATATTGCTGAAAGACTATTCTTCCTCACATTTAATTGTTTTTGCACCCTTATCAAAAATCAATTGAATATAAATGCAGTGTTTATTTCTATACCTTCAATTCTATTCCATTGATCTATGCCTGTGCCACACCGTCTTTATTACTGTGGTTTTGTGGTAAACTTTGAAATCGGGAAGTGTCCTTCAACTTTGTCCTTCTTTTTCCAAGAATGTTTTGGGTATTCTGGATGCTTTGCATTTCCATATGAATTTTAGGTTCAGCTTGTCGATTTCTGAAAGAAATGGCAGCTGGAATTTTGATAGGGCTTTTGTTAAATCTGTAGATCAATTTGAGGCATATTACCATCCTAACAAAATTATGTTTTCCGATCAATGAACATGAATTCTCCATTTACTTAGATTCTCTCTCTTTTTTTTTAAAGATTTTATTTATTTATTTGAGAGAGAGAGAATGAGAGAGAGCACATGAGAGGGGGGAGGGTCAGAGGGAGAAGCAGACTCCCTGCCGAGCAGGGAGCCCGATGTGGGACTCAATCCAGGGACTCCAGGATCATTACCTGAGCCGAAGGCAGTCGCTTAACCAACTGAGCCACCCAGGCGCCCTACTTAGATTTTCTTTAATTTCTTTCAACAATGTTTTATAGTTTTCAGAACACAAGTCTTACACTTCTTTTGTTTAATATATTCATAAGTATTAATTTATTCATTTTGTTATTATTGTAAATAAAATTTTCTTAATTTTATTTTATTAATAATGTACAAAAAATATATATGTATATGTATGTTGTATAAATATGTATACATATATATATACAACTGATTTTGCATATTGATCTATTATCCTGCAACCTTGCTCAACTCACTTATTAATTTTAATAGATTTTAGTGGATTCCTTAGGTTTTTCTATACACAAGATAATGCCGTCTACATATCATCTTCCTTTCCAATTTGGATGCCTTTTATGTATTCCTCTTGCCAGTTGTCCTGTCTAGAACTTCCAGTACAATATTGACTAGAAGTGGGGAGAGCAATGTAGAGAGCAAATAAACAAATGGTACCAAACAACCAAAGGGCCAAAGAAGAAATCAAAAGAGAAATTAAAAAAAAATATATTGAGGGGCACCTGAGTGGCTCAGTCAGTTAAGTGTCCAACTCTTTTTTTTTTTTTAAGATTTATTTATTTTTACTTTAGAGAGAGAGAGAAAGAGTGTGTGGGGGAGGGCTAGAGGGAGAGGGAGAGAGAGAATCCCAAGCAGACTCCCTGCCTTTCACAGAGCCTGAGGTGGGGCTTGATCTTGATCCTGAGATCATGACCTGAGGCAAAATCAAGAGTTGGACACTTAATTGACTGAGCCACCCAGGCACCCCAGCATCTGTCTCTTGATTTTGGCTAGGTCATGATCTATCTCAGAGTCATGAGATTGAGCCCTTCATCGGGTTCTGCACTTAGCGGAGAGTCTGCTTGAGATTCTTTCCCTCTGCCCCTCCCCCTGCTCTCTCTCTCTAAAACAATAAATCTTTTTTAAAAATATTGAGATGAATGAAAATACAACATACCTAAACTTATGAGATGCAGCAAAAATAGTTCTAAGAGGGAAATTCACAGCCATAAATGCCTATATCAAGAAAAAAAAGAAAGATCTTGAACAAACTCTAGCTGTACACCTCAAGGAATTAGAAAAAGAAAAGCAATGGAGCCCAAAGTTAGTAGAAGAAAGGGAATAACAAAGATCAGAGCAGAAATAAATGAAATGAAGGCTAAAATAACAATAGAAAAGATAAATGAAAGTAGGAGCTTTTTTTAAAAAGATGAACAAAATAGGCAAACCTGTAGCTAGACTCACTAAGAAAAAAAGAGAACTCAAATAAATAAAATCAGAAATGGAAGATGAGACATTTCAACTGATACCACAGAAATACAAAGGATCACAAGAGACTACTATGAATAATTATATGCTAACAAGTTGGACAACGGAGGAGAAATGGGTAAATTCCTAGAAACACACAACCTACCAAGACTGAATAATGAAAAAGTAGAATCTGAATAGACTGATCATTAGTAAGGTGATCGAGTTAGCAATCAAAAAATCTTCCAACAAATGAAAAAGATGGACTTTTAAAGTGGCTTCAACATTTAAAGAATTAATCATCCATTTAAATGGCTTCAACCTTTAAAAAAATTAATACCAATCCTTCTCAAACTCTTCCAAAAAATAGAAGAGGAGGGAACACTTCCAAACTCACTCTATGAGGCCAGCATTACCCTCATACCCAAACTAGACAAGGACACCACAAGAAAAGAAAATTAGAGGTCAATATCCCTGATAAACATAGATGCAAAAATCTTCAACAGAATTTTAGCAGACCTAACTCAAAAATACATTAAAAGGATTGTACATCATAATCAAGTGGGATTTATTCAAGGGATGTAAGAATGGTTCAACTTCAGCAAACCAGACAATGTGATACACCACATTAACAAAATGAAGGATAAATATCATATAGTCATCTCAATAGATGCAGAAAAAGCATTTAATGAAATTCAATATCGATTTGTGGTAAAAAAAACTCTCAACACAATAGGTAGAGGGGAACATATCTCAACATAAGAAAGGCCATACATGACAAGCCCACAGCTAACATCATGCTTAATGGAGATAAGCTGAAAGCTTTCCCTCTATGATCAGGAATAAGACAAGAACACCCACTTTCACCACTTTTATTTCATATAGTATTGGAAGTATTCTAGCCAGAGCAATTAGGCAAAAAGAAGAAATAAAAGACATCGAAATTGAAATGGAAGGGGGGGAAATCGGTGGGGGAGACAAACCATGAGAGACGGTGGACTCTGAGAAACAAACTGAGGGTTCTAGAGGGGAGAGGGTGGGGGGATGGGTTAGCCTGGTGCTGGATATTAAAGAGGGCACATACTGAATGGAGCACTGGGTGTTATACACAAACAATGAATTATGGAACACTACATCAAAAACTAATGATGTAATGTATGGTGATTAACATAATAAAATTAAAAAAAATTTTAAATAAAAAAATGGAAGATGTAAAACTATTGCTATTTGCAGATGATGTGATATCATATATGTAAAACCCTAAAAACTCCACCAAAAAAACTGTTAGAACTAATAAATTCAGTAAAATCACAGGATACAAGATTAATATACAAAAATCAGTTTTGTTTCTATACACTAATAATGAATTATCAGAGAGAAAAATTTAAAAAATTTTCATTTACAATTGCATTGAAAGAATAAAATACCCAGGAATAAATTTAACCAAGGAGGTGAAAGACCTGTGCATTGAAAACTATAAGACATTGATGGAAGAATTGAGGATGACACAAATAAATGGAAAGATATTCTGTGATCACAGATTAAAAGAATTAATATTCTTAAAATGTGCATACTACCCAAAACAATCTACAGATTCAATGTAATCTCTATCAAAATTCTAATGGAAGGTGTTCTGAGATGCCTTCCCTAATAACTCTTACCCCCAGAGGGATAGAGAGTCTTTCTGTGGGTTCCCATACAACCTTGATTTCACTTCCATCATGGTGTAGTGTAACCATTTGTTTACCTATCCATCCTGTCTACCTCTTTGTCCAAACTGTGAGTACTTGGGAAGGGGTCACTTTGGTCTTTGTATCCCTGATGCCTAAGAGAATTATTGACCAACACACATGGTTTTTCAATGAGTGAATAGTTATTCATCCCACACTTGAACAGAGAAAGCTATAGGAAACAGAGTTATCTGAGGGAATATTCTGCAAAAATGGTAGAGTTTCCATGGAGTGAGCATAGTGGTATGGGAGATTCTGATTGCTAAACATGATTTTGACCTGGAGGCCCATAAAAGAAGGGTACCCCAAAGTATATTCTGCTTTATTAGATGGGATGGAAGCTTACGAAAAAGCTTCTCTTAAATGTATGTTTTTCTTTTTAATTCTGTATTTGGATTACTGCCTTTACTTTTCTCCAGATGTCATGTTATCCTTGGAATTACATTGCTTCTTAAAATTACTCAAACTACCTGAGGTAGTCTTGTATGTTAACCTTTTATTTCTCTTCATCTTTTTCAAGTAGCCTGTGATTCTCTGGCTGATACTGTGTTCAATACTGTATGGACCTTGGGCTGCCGACCTTTTATGAATAGCCAACGGGCAGCCTGCATCTGTGCGGAAGAGGAGAAGGCAGAGTTATGAGAAAGAGGTGATCCCTTCCTGGTTTTGAGTGACGCCGTGGCTGTCAGTCTCTGAGATGGTAGTGTGGCAGAGTGAGCAATCTCATCCTTGCTTCCAGAAGTTTGGATACCACAAAGCAAGAGAAAGAAAGCCTTGTTCTACAGCTGAGAAGTGAGTCCTGTCCTTTGAGGAGAATTGGAAAGAAGCCATGGAGTGATTTGAAGACTACTCTTCATTTGACAATGGTCTCCCCAACCAAGACATATTTGCCTGGCAATTCAGTTCTTAGTTTAAAGACTAAAATAAAGACTAAAATACTGGGATTCCTGGACTTGGTAATTATATTCATAAGTGAAGTTTTGCAGAGTCCAACCATGTGGGAGGCAAGGACTTTCCTCTGGTCCATGTTTCAGTTGCCAGTAAGCATCTCACATTTAATAAATTGTACTTTTTAGAAAAGAGATGAATGAATTCCATTATCACCAATGTGCTTCCATTTCACTTAGAAGAGAACAGAACCCTTCCTGGTAAGTTCCCCCAATGATAACCATCATTCCCACTGGTGCTGGAGAGATGAGAACAGGTGGGCAAAGTCAGAGACTTACCTGGTTAAGGCCAATGAAGGTGAGGTCAGATGGAGTTAGGTCTCTGAGGTTCAATTCTTTCCTCAATGAACTATTTCTGTTGATATTCCCAATTCCTAAGTGGTGTTAGTGTCATGTTAAGATCTGAGAAGCATGTGGTAAAAAATTGCCACTGAAGATAGCTAGGAAAAGTCCCTGAAATCTGAGGGGATGCAAATGGTCAATCCCTAAACTATGGTTCTCAACCCTGACTGCAGATTAGAATCACCAGAGGAGCATTAAAAAACAAAGAATCTCTGGGGGTGGTATCTACCTATTGGTGTTTTATAAATGCTCCCCACCTGATTCTGATGCACTGGGAAGGCTGAGGTCCACTAAGGTCAGGGATTGGAAAATGAAGCTCAAATCAGGCCTGACATCTGCTTCTGTGGAGTTTAACTGGACCACAACCATGTTCTCATTTGTTTATGGCCATTCCTGTGCTACAACCTCAGAGCTGAATAGTTGTGACAGACTGTTTGGCCAGAAAGCCTAAAATGTTTACCATTTGGCCCTTGACAGAAAAAGTTGGCCAATTGCTGACCTAGGTCATTCTGTCTTTTTCCTTCCTTTTGTCAATTTTCCTGGTTCCGTTAAGAATTGTTGATGATAGCCATTTCTAAGAAGAACAAGAAGAAAAACTGTTTCCTGATCTTATGTAAAGCCATAAAATTAATTGGCATATTAAGAAATTGGATTTAATTGCATATAAAATTCATCCCTGTGGTTTATATTTATTTCAATAAAATTTATTAAGCATCTACTTAAAAAATAGACTACGGTATAATTTTACACCTTTTTCTATTGCCTTATCAGTCTGAGGGCATAGAATGCCAAATAACAGGGCATATGGTACCAAATTTTAATTTTGTCTACAGTTCAGTCATTGAACCTCTTAAATGCATGTTAATACATTCTTAAAAGATTTATTTATTTATTTATTTTAGGGGAGTAGGAGGGGCAGACAGAGAGAGAATCTCAAGCAGACTCCACGTTAAATGGAGACTGACATGGGGCTCGATCTCATGACTCTGAGATCACAACCTGAGCTAAAACCAAGAGTCGGACGCTTAACCCACTGCACCACCCAGGTGCCCTGCATGTCAATAAATTTATTAATATTTATTAATTGAAAATATTTCACTTAAGATAATATAAAAACATCAAAGAAGAAAACATCATGCAAGAGGAAAACCCAATAGTAATTTTTAGTACACACTTATATTGATAAACTTCCAAATCCCCCATGAGTATTCTGTGTTTGAATTGAAATTTCAGGGTACAATTACTATTTACATATTTAAGGAGTCATTGGGTATTTAAGTCAAAATTTCAAGCAACTATTTATTTCAAGTTTGTAGTGTGAAGTATCATGCCCAACTTTTGACTGTAGTTGTCCTATTGCATCCTACACTAGGGGTTTTATTGTAAGGAAAGAAACGTGGGAAATGGAGTGAGCTGCTTTCTGAAGGGACAGTGTAGCTTTCAACGTCAGGAGGATGAAGCCCCACGTGGGTCAGGTCAGTCAGCAGTGAAGTGCTCTTTCCCAACCCAGGGGCCCGAGTCAGAATGAGTCAGTTCTGGGAGTCTGTCGAAACCCACAGTATGAGGTTTAAAGAAGTGCCATGTTCGAAGGTGTTCACTGATGTTCTCAGAGGGGAGTAATTCCAAAGAGGTGGGCAACCCAGAGCCAGGAGTCGGGTGTTGGGTGGTCCTAGTCCTCCCAGTCGATGTTAATCGGGCCGCCTGTCAGCATCTGGCTCTGTGGACCAGCTGTGTCCTCTCCTTCCACTGCCTCACGGCGCATTCGCCGGTGGCAGCCCTGGGCACAGCGGGAATGCTCGTCCAGCCGTCCACAGACAAGGACCTGGCAGTGCAGAAACACTTCCTGGAAAGACCGTAATGATAATTAACAAAAATAGTGATAACAGCTACCACTTGCGGGGCCCTTTCTGGAAGCCAGACACTGTATCAGATGTTTTCATATATAGTATCTCGTTTCATCTAAACAACAACCCTTTGAGGTGGATATTGTCATCCCCATTTTACAAATGAGGAAACTGAGACTTAGGTTAGACAACTTGCCCAGAGTCACAGCATTGGTCAGGTGGGCAAACACACTGAATGAGTCACGTGGGTGATCTAACCCGCCCCCCACGTATAACTTCTGCCTTTGTACAGGGACAGGAGAGACCTTCGAGAAGGGAATGCCTAAAAACGTTAACATCCTCACTCTTCACATCAAAGTCTGGGAAAAACATCGGTGCCCACACGCTTCTGTGGAAAATAACAAGTTCTTTCTCCAAGCTTCTTCCTATAAGCTACCTCCCAAAGCATGCTGCCTGCTTGGGGATTAGCCATCGCGGTTAGCAGTTGTTCTAGAACGTAACTGGAAAGGACATGAATTCATTTAAACACAGTATGGAAAAGATTGTTGGTCTCTTAGACTTCCTTTGGTTTGCATGTTTCAACAACTCTACTGAAAAAAAAAAAATTCCACCTTAACATACTCTCTATTGCCTCTTATAACCTCTGTGTATGTATATTTTTCAAAAATGTAGCATGTTCAATATGCATGTAAATCGTTATGACAAATGATTTTTCCTATCTCTCTTTTCTATATTTCTCATTTTAATAACTGCTTAATATTGCACTAATTGATATATGTATGGTAGCCCTGTTGGGGGCTTTTTCTCCTTCTCTGTGTAACAATGCTCTATAATATCCAACAAATCTAGTTTTTCTTTTTTTGCTTATTTGTTTTTGACAAACTGTCAGAATTAGAATTTTTAGATAAAAGAATCTGATGATTTTATGGTTATTACTACATATTACCAGACAAATTCCCAGAAACTATACCCATTTATACTGCCGCTGTATACTTCTCCATATAACTTTGCAAGCATTGAGATTTATAGTTTTTATAAAATTAATATGTATAAAATAGTGTCTTATAATTGTTTTAATTGGCACTTTAAGTACTGTTTTCACTGAACAATTCACCGTTTGTCTTTTCTGTGAATTTTCTGCCCATATCCTTTGCCATATGACTAACACACAGCTTTTTTCAACCATACCCGCCCACAACAGCTTAAAATTATGATCATACAGGCGCGCCTGGGTGGCTCAGTCTGTTAGGCATCTGACTCTAGATCTCAGCTCAGGTCTTGATCTCAGGGTTGTGGGTTAGAGCCCCACGTTGGGCTTAGAAAAATGACTTAAATGAAATAGAACTTAAAATTATGATCATATAGTATTTTCTTTGAACAAACACAGTGATTTTATTGGGAGGGAGGCAGGTAATTGTGACAGTCATGAAGGTATGAAGCTTCTAGATAGCCAATTCTGCAGTATTTTTCATAGATGTAATGCAGATCCTAACCGTGGGCTCACAGAGAATGCCAACAAATTGGCACGCCAAGAAACGAGGCTCGGATCTGGGGGTGAGGGAGGGGGTGCAGTGTGGGCTCCAAGGTAAAGGTGTTCAGCTCACCTTGTGGTCTTTGCCCACAAACTTGAAGACAGGGACCTGGAAGTGCTTTGCTAGGTGGTCCCGGGACGTGTACTGCTTCACGGAGTCATCTGAAACACAGCTGAAAGCAGGACAGGAGGGCACGTGAGACTTGATGGCTTCAACAGAGGTGGAAAAACAATCTGGGCCAATGTGTTTGGTCCGAAGAGACGCTCACTGGGTGGAGGAGGCTGGGCTGCACTCAAGCTTTTTGAGAATGAAGGAAAAATGAAATTCCTTCCCTGCAAAGGCATCTTCAGCCCTGCTCATGAATACAGTCTGTCCCATTTCTCATTCTCTGTACCCACCAACTGGGCACGAGGACCTCTCGATATGTCAGTGTATCGAAGCATTAGCAACAGCAACCACCTTTCTTTCAAAGATACTTTTTGAAATGAAGATATCTCTGGAAGGCTGTATTTTCTTTTCTTTTCTTTTCTTTTTAAAGATTTTATTTATTTATTTGCGAGAGAGAGAGAGAGAGCATATGAGAGGGGGGAGGGTCAGAGGGAGAAGCAGACTCCCCGCCGAGCAGGGAGCCCGATGCGGGACTCGATCCCGGGACTCCAGGATCATGACCTGAGCCGAAGGCAGTCGCTTAACCAACTGAGCCACCCAGGCGCCCAGGAAGGCTGTATTTTCATTTGTAATATGTCACAGGAGTTCTGCATTCACCTACTTGATGATTGGTTTGAGAAGGCTTTTCTTTAACTGGATTTCATAAACATTTATTGGACACCTAATATACATTAACCCCCAAAGGGGGTTCAAAGGTGAGAAAACCCCAATTTGTGCATCACAGAGCTGCATAAAGATTTAAGTTCCAGAGAGAATAACTGGTTCTACTGGGAAAGCTCAGTCCCCTCCACATTGCTGTACTTCCTCTTTTCCCAAATTTAATGCTAAGATGTGGTTTGAGAGGGTTTTGGGATTTTCATCTCAGGTCTACTGCTTAAAGTGAAACTCCTAGGCTCACCTCAGGGTTAGCTGGGGAAAAGAAGTCTTCTTGATTCTCAATTTTGAGACCAAGGAAGGTTTAGTACTTGAAGAACATTTTCTCTTGAGAGGCCAGGGATTACACTTGTATCATTTTTCCCACTCTGATTTTTAAAGGAAATTTAATTCCTTTTTCTGGATACCTAATAGTTCTTGTCTACCAGGCCAGGAAAAAAAAAAAAAAGTGGGGACCAGAAAGAAAAGTCTATGAAACTGGATCCTTGCTTCACATGCTTACAGACAACTTTCTAGTTCATTGCTAAGGGCTGTTTCAGTGCAGTTGAAAAAAATCCAATAAAATTGTTTAAAAAGAAGGCATTGTGATTTATAATACCCCTGGTACCATATTCCCCTGAACTGAAGAGGATCTAAATATATAATGCGGTTTCTGTTATTTCTTGTTATTTATGTACTCATTTTCATTTTCCTGAGGTAAAGTTAATTTATACCATCTTTTGATTATGTTCTATAATAAATACCCATTGCATAGCTAATCTGTGCAACATGGTCTGCTGGGAGCTGCAGAGGATATAAAGATGAATAATATGGTCTGTGATGTCAAGGACTTTATAGTCTGTACCTAGGACAAAAATAGTAACACGATATCAAAATGGTACTTTTCATCTAAGGGCCTCACCATTTTCAATTTATTTTTATCTAAAAATACCATGGTTTTTCTTTAAAAGAGAAAATGAGGCAGAAAGAGTTGTTACAGGGTAATATATTACAGAATGGGATCCAGGACAAATTTCGGCTCTTGACTTGGTGTTTGCTGTGATTAGACAATGCTGGTTCATCAACTCCAAGTTCATGTGTTAAAAGAGAGTAAGGATGGTATAGGATAATCCAATAATCGATTACCCAAAAGTTGTCCAATATTTCACTTTGGAATTCAGTATGTTTATTTTTCTGGAGATTAACTTTCTAATTCTACTTTGCTGAGGCTTGTATTAAGTTACTTTGCATTCTCTGAGCATACTCCAACTAAAACTGGAGCGAGGTGAATGAGCTGTGTTAAGTATCAGGGCAGCGGGGTGGGGTGCCTGGGTGGCTCAGTCATTGAGGATCTGCCTTCGGCTCAGGTCATGGTCCCAGGGTCCTGGGATCAAGCCCCGCATTGGGCTCCCTGCTCGGCAGGAAGCCTGCTTCTCCCTCTCCCACTCCCCCTGCTTGTGTTCCCTCTCTCACTGTGTCTCTCTCTGTCAAATAAATCAATAAAATCTTAAAAAAAAAAAAAAAGAGTGCTTCTAGAGCCATTTGAATTAAAAAAAAAAAGTATCAGGGGAAAACGGCCTGATTTAAATGTAAGCTGAGGACAATGAAGAATCAAACAATTTATAAATGTAAGCACATTGCATTATGTTTATTTTAGGGCTCTGGACTTGCCTCAAATGATTATTATGATAAATGTTCATTCAATAGTTCACTTGACAACTGTTTAATACCCTTACTATAGGTTAGGCATAGAGGGGGAAAGAGAAAGAAGGAAAATTTCTAGCTCAGGTTGGAAAGAATCAAGGAAGGCTTCATGGAGGAAAGAAATCCGGCTGAATCTTGAAGGAACAGTGAGAGTCAGGCAGGAAGAAAAGGAGAAGATTTCTGGCAGGGAAACAGCAGGTGCAGCAAGGAAGGTGTAAGAAACAATGGGGTCTGGGAATTGCCTGTATTCCCTCTGCTGGGAGCAGAAACTGGAGAGGGCAGAGGTCAGAGGGTGAGGCAGGGTGAGCCAAGCTCAGAGTTGGATTTTATCTCGAACTGTTGCACAGATACCATTCCAGTACTCTCCATTATTGTGCCAGAGATGGGACTCTTTGCCTGTTTACTAAATAGACCTCTACTGCTGTGTTTTTGAATTCTTGCCTCTGGCTTTTAAGCATTTTAATTTCTCCTGCAGCATATTTTATATATATATATATATATATATATATATATATATATATATATATATATATATTTAGCTATTTTGAATGTGCTAAGGCCTGGAAAATTAAAAAGCACAGCTTCTTAGAACTATCTAAAATAAAGAGCATATAGTCCTTAACTGAGCATCTGAATAACAAATATATAAATAAACTTTACAAGCTTTACTGAGATTGTAGATTACATGTTTTTCCAGTAAGTGAGTTATGATTATACATTTATTTTTGCAAAAAGTAAATACAGGGGTAGGAAAAGACTCTTGGAATGAAAGAAATGTTCCCTATCTTGATTGTAGTGATGGCTTCATGATATATACATCAGAACTTACCAAACTGTATACTTTCAATGTGTATGCTCATTGTATGAGAATGGTACTCCAATAAAGCTATTAAGAAAAAAAAAAAAAAAAGGAACCCAAATCTACTCTCCCCTAAAAGTAAATCCATTCCTTAATCTCCTTACCATTAGGTACGTGAGTGAAAAAAAATAAATAAAAAATGATACTTCTACTTTTCATTTTAAAACTTTGTGGAGATAACTTTAAGATGGCAAGAAATCCAAAGAACTACAGACCCCTATGAGACCTATTACTGGCCATGCAAAGCAGCTCAGAATGATACATTTTCCATGTTCTGAAAACAAGCTAAGGAGGCTGCAAGTACTCCTGCTGGAAAACCGTGAAATGTACCAACCAAAGGAAATCAAGTGTCATCAAAGGTTTTCAGCAGGGATCTAACAGTATACATATATATTTTTTTTTCTTATTTTTAATATTTGTTTTCCTTTTGATTGGTTACCCAGGGACTCTTGGAGCTGAGATTTGAGAGTTGGGATTTAGGGGGCTGTGGCGAGGCTGTTTTTGCTGTCCAGGTGAAAGATAAGGGCTGGAATTAAGACAGAGTAGAACAGAGAGAACAAGTTTGGGGCTACTGCTACTTCTACAAAAGCCTCTTGATTGATCCCAATGTGCTTCAGGGTTGAACATCACTGTGTAAGAGATTGACAGCAGCAGGCGGAGGATGCCTGTGGTGAGAGATCCAGCAGATAAAAACTAAGTAGACATTTCAGAGTCCATGAGGCCAGTTAGCAAAGGGCATGGCCCAAGTGGTGCTCTTGTTAGACCATTTCCCTTTCTTTGAGCTGCAGGTCCTGACCCTACCTGAGCTATGTCCCACCTGTCATTGAGAACAAGGAAGAAACTGATAAGATTCTACCATGGGTTTGGGGTTTGCGTGTAATTCTCCTGGGAATGTAAGCAATGGGTGTGACAACTGCTAGGCCTCCAATGGGCCTGTGAGACACAGTTCTCAATCCAGGGATCCTTAGGAAATTAGGAAATCTCTTTTGTATAAAACAAGCAAACAAAAACCAAATTTCACTTGATCTTTCTTCTCCTAAAACCTGCCAAGTAATTCTTCTCTCTCCTTCACTACTAAGCTTCCTAAAAGAGGAGTCTACATTTGCTGCTTCCGCTTCCTCATCCCCTTACACTTATCAGCCTCCCCCCAACCTTGACACTCATGCTCTACTCTCTCTCTGAACCTCTCTCTCTGAACAGATTAATCAAGCCTATGTTTCAAATAGAAACAGGGATGATTCTTGATCCTTTATCTCTAGTCCTGACCTTGTTCCTGGGTCTGATATACAGTTCCAACTGCCCACTGAACTTCTCTTCCCATGTATCCTGCAGGCATTTACAATTTAATAGTATTATTTGGAATTATCATATCCAACATTTCACCTCAAATCTGCTTTTCTACTTATAGCCTTCCATCTGGATTCATGGCATCTAGTCAGTCATCCGTGCTAGACCTCTTGGAATCATTTTTGATTTCCTGCTCCCTCACCAGTTTTTACCTCCAATGTCAACGAATGGTTTCTGAACCAATTAAGAGCTCATAAAAGTACCCTGTTGTTTTAGGAAATGATCGAGTACGCTGTGCACTTAGAAATCAGATGTGAACTGGGGATAATAAATTGTATAAGCAACATAATTACCCATCCTGGATGAGGTAGTACTTCAGGATCTCGTCGATCTTGGAGGTGGGGGTGGCAAAGCAGCTCTCCACCAGGCTTTCTAAGCCATTCACGTGCACCACAGGTTCAATGCCAAAGTAGAGGGAGTCTCGAAGCTTGAGGGTGGGCAAGGCTTCCCGGTAAGTCTCTTCAAACTCATTGTCCTTGAAGATCTCCAGAGTGAACGGGAAGATTCCATGACTGCGGCTCATGATTTCCAGTGGGGCGTTTCTAAGGTGGGGGACGTATCCTTCTGAAATGGTGTACAGGCGTGGATACTCGCAGGTCACCGGGATCAGCACTTTGCTGGTTCGGATGATGATGTCTCCGCTGCTCCCTGGGGTCTGCTTGGGTAGACCTGTCACAAGGTTGCTTGCCACAATCTTGTCATTTACCACCTGAGCCAGGCCAGGGCCAGGAGAGAAAAAAGACTGTATGTCTATTTTTCCAGAGTTCCCCACCCCACCCTATCCCACCCTCCCACCCCAGCCCCCACCCCACTCCACTCTTGACTGTAACATTCTCCACACTTCTATTTACATTAAAACAATTAGAGATTTGGTTGCTGAAGCCTGAAGCCTTTTTAAAAAATCTCTTCTACTCTTTTTAGCAAGATGTTCTGAGTGTTAAGAATTTTATATACTACTTCTTGGTCAACCCACACATTCCTTTGGAGTATTACTCATTAAACCTGAACTATGCAGAATCAGCAAATTCAAAGCTCTGGTATTTCAGGAAAGAATGGCTTCAGTATATTATTATTATTTTTTTTTTTTTTGGAATCCTAGACCTGCTGATCAGGCTGCGGCCTGACCTTGTGCTGAACTCATCCACAGGCAGAGAACTTCAGCTACCGCATTTATGCAGATGACTTTCAGTTCTTTATCTCCAGCCTTGTCTGCTTCCCCGGGTGCCAGCGACTCCAACCCACCCCAGGGCATTTCCACTCTATCATCCTCAGATACAACAAACATAATTTGCCTGAAGTGGAACAGCTTTCTCCTGAGATATCACCCCCAGGTCTCAGTCCAAATCTAATTAGCTCCCTGATTTTCTCTTCATTGCACTCAATAAATAAATATTTGTTTAATCAAATGGTTGCAAGAACCTCTGCCCTGATCTCCTGGATCCAGGTCCCCTTTATTTCTATCCATCTTGTACGCTTCTGGTCTCATCACGACAGCACCTGCAACCTCACTCTAGGGGATAAAGCCCAAACGTCTACCCTTGCACACAAGGCAGATCTTTGCAAGTACAGTCTTCCCCCTCCTAATTTTCCAGTTTCCTTTTTCCATATGCATTCCTTGCCAGTCAGTCTGCACTGCCCATTCACTCAGCATAAGCCTTAAATACTCCCATCTCTGACACTGGCTCACTTGTTTCCCATCTGAAATGGCCTTTCTTTTCCTCTCTGTCCGGATAAGCCACACACAGGCTTCCACCCCAGTTCAAGGCTCACTTGTCTTGACTGCTCCAGGGTTTGTCCCTTTCTGGACTGTGACAGCACCTGTCATCTGTATCACTGTTTCTTATTTATGTTGTGTGTGTGTGTTGTCATCTCAATCCTACTGTATATGTTCCCCAAAGTTAGGAATCTTATTTCATATATCCCTCAGACTCCAGTGCACATTCTTGGATGAAAGCACAAACCTTTTCCCTCTACCTAGTTCAACACTTGAACACATCTGTTATATCATAAATGAGCCTTCATCTGTATCAGTTGCTTTCTTCAAGTAAAAAAATTGGTTGGAGGAGATGCAACCAGCCTCCCGGGACTGGTGCTGATGCACTCAGGAAAATGTCTGCTCATATCAGAGATATAGGACTACTGAAGAATAGAATGAGCAGAAGTCTTCTTACCCCCCTGCACACACAGGGCCAGGACCACAGCAGATGCTCAATAATACATGTGTTAAATGAATGGCATATGAGTTTTTGAGCTGCATTCTTTTATGTGGAAATATTTCATCTATGACAAGGCACACTGCATACCTCTGTCAACTCCCTCCCAAATAACTGGCTTTTGGTCATCCCCCGAGTATCCTCCAGGAAGAACCTACATCAACCACTGTGCCACACGTCTTGAGGGAGAAGAGGATGTTGACGTGGGTGCCATTGGACACTCCTCGGCAGGAAGTGTTGGTCAGGAAGAGCTCCAGACCGCCAACCAGGTCCCTGGGGATGCTCACTTCAATGGTATTCGACTTGCACAACACGGGGACTGTGGCGGAAAGGGGGTACTGTTAGAACCGAGAAATCTGAATTGGGAGAAGGATAAGGAAGGCTTATAGGAGAAATAATTTTACCCTCCCACAACTTGAGCTTTTTGTTCCATCCTCAAGGAAATCTAAGAGACTCAAAACAAGTTGGTGAAGGGGCTCCTGGCTGGCTCAGTCGTTAAGCGTCTGCCTTCTTCTCAGGTCATAATCCCAGGGTCCTGGGATCAAGCCCCGCATCGGGCTCCCTGCTCTGCGGGAAGCCTGCTTCTCCCTCTCCCACTCCCTCTGCTTGTGTTCCCTCTCTCGCTGTGTCTCTCTCTGTCAAATAAATAAATAAAATCTTTTAAAAAAACCAAGTTGGTGAATAAAACCAGGACTCCTAACTCCTCAGGTTGTGGTCAAATAATGCTCCTCAAACACATTGATCTCTGAATGAGGAAACATTGTGTTCAAGTTTTGATTCAACATTTATTTCAAAGTATGGATAGCATAGTTCCATGAACTGAAACACCTAACGGGTTAACTTTTAGCACAAACACAATTTATTGGCAATACAGAAAAAGTACTGCTTTGATATAGGCTTAAATTACATAACAGTACTGCTTTGACTTTACCATTAATTATGTCTCTCTCATAAAACAGAGGTAATAAAAACAACATTAGTGTACTTGGGGAAGAATTCCAAATTGTCCTTGCATTGTTCAGTAAACCATAAATGCTGACTATAAATTCCACTTTAACTTAATATGAAAAGGATCGCTTTTCTTTAGTGTTCCTGTGTTCACTTTTCTGGGCTCTACACATACCCTAAAAGGAATATTTATGGGTACTGTCAGAAAATATGTGAGGATATATCATAACAATGACACAAGAAATCAAAGGTAGGTGTTCATTAAATATTTGCTAGATGAGTGAGTTAACATTCGGGACATAAATAACTAGATTTCCAGAAAATAGTTGTCAGAGGATTGTTGATGCTCATATTGTAACTGTAGGGAGAAAAATCAGTTCCTTAGGGCTTTCAGCATAGTTTCACCACCCAATTATCTGTTAGAAAAGAGAGGAGCTGCATCAATGTCTTATTAGTTATACTACTAATAATATAAATTACGGGGAAAAATCTCAAGTAAAAAGCAAAGGAAACCGTATGATCCAGCAATCCCATTCTGGGTATATATCCAAAAGAATTGAAAGTAGGATCTCAAAGAGATATCTGCACGCCCATGTTCATAGCAACATTATCCACAATATCTAAACCATAGAAGTAACTCTAGTGCCTATCAATGGATGAGTGGCTAAACAAAATGTGGTATATAAATACAATGGAATATTATTCAGCCTTATGAAGGAAGGAAATCCTGTCAGATGTTAAACACGGATGAACCTGGTGGATATTATGCTAAGTAAAATAAGTCAATCACAAAAAGATAAATGCCATATGACCCCACTTACATGAAGTGTCTAAAGTGGTTGACTTCATAGAAATAGAAAACAGAATAGTGGTTGCCAGGGCACAGGGTGGGGTGGGGGGAGGAAGGAATGGGGACTTGTCGTTTCATGGATATAGAGTTTCAGTTTTGCAAGATAAAAAAAAATTCTGGAAATTTGTTGCACCACAACGTGAATATATGTAACACTACTGAACTATCCATTTAAAACTGGCTTAGATGGTCAATTTTCTGCTATATGTTTTTTTAACCACAATTTCTTAAAAAGCAAAGGAAAATTAACTTTTTGGTAATATTTTCTTAGAGAGCTTCTCTTTTGAAGGATCCCAGAGTAAAGATGCAGGGATACACACTTCCGAAGAAGCTGGTGTTCTAAACGAGAATCGTGACACACTTGAGTGAGGAAGACAGGGCGATTTGAGGGCGGGGGGAGCAGAGGTTGAGCCCATCCATGTACTACCTTGGCACGTGTGGTTGTCCTCAGACAGCACCAAGCCCCGGGGACATTCACACTGATAGCCCTTCTCGGACACAAGGCAAAGGTGGCTGCAACCACCATTGTTGCTGTGACATCCTTCAATGTCTGCAATAAAACCAGAAGAACAGCACATGACCTTGCAGGCCTCTTCCCCAAGGATTCTGGTTCTTGGGATGGTGCTTGGCATCAGGGAATACGCTTGACTCATCACAGCATCACTGGGGCCTAACTCAGTCACCAAGTCACGTAGGGAAGCCCACGAAAAAATGTTTATTAAATGTGATAGCTACAAAGAGCAATCTTACAACATCCACAGCTCTAACCTCTTCAGCTGGTCATTTTGTAGAATGTCCTTCACTCCGGATTTGTCTGTTTTTCTCAGGGTTATACTATAATTTTGGGGAGGAAGACCCAAAAGTCATTTCTTTTCTTTCTTTCTTTCTTTTTTTTTTTTTTTTTTTTGGTGAGCAAATATTTATTAATTGCCCAGAAATTATATAATTTCATGTCTAAATGTATTGGTTCTAGTTGATTCTTCACCAAAATTTTTTGCTTCTGGGAATAAAGTGAGACAAGTCGTTTTACTGAGATAGTGAATGAGACAAGATGTGTAAGTGCACTTATATTTTTATAGAAAACTTTATCAACAATGAGTTTTATCTCATACCAGAAACAAATGTGGAAAGGAAATAGATCAGTCTGAAGTTTCTTGGGCAAAGTAAGAGCATAAGACACTAGAAATGAGAAACAATATAAACATGTCCCTTCAGAAGATTTCATCATCTCGACAATACTGGTTGTGGGTTTATTTATTTATTTATTTTTAATGTACTGTATGGTGGCTAACATAATAAAAAAAATTATAACCAAAAGTCCTTTCTTAATTGGTATAACATTTAATGTACCCATTTTGAAATTTTATATAGAGTATTACTGATATAAAGGGGACTGACCGAATGTAAATTCAACTAGACTAGTTAGATGGATCAGTTAGTTATTGGATTGCCAGACCCTCTCCTCAAATCTCTATTAATAATAGCACTGGGATACGTGTCTTGGGCTGACAGCACACTATAAAAATGAGGCCTAGACAACACATTTGGTCCACTCCACTAAGCTCTTTGTGACATTCCTCTTTTTTTTTGTTTTTAAAGATTTTATTTATTTATTTGACAGAGAGAGACACAGCGAGAGAGGGAACACAAGCAGGGGGAGTGGGAGAGGGAGAAGCAGGCTTCCTGCAGAGCGGGGAGCCGGATGTGGGGCTCGATCCCAGGACCCTGGGATCATGACCTGAGCCGAAGGCAGACGCTTAACAACTGAGCCACCCAGGCGCCCCTGTGACATTCTTCTTTTGAGTCAGTTGTTTCCTTTTAAAAAGTTTTGCATTTTTGGGGGGTGCCTGGGTGACTCACTCAGTTAAGCATCCAACTCTTGATCTCAGCTCCGGTCTGGATCGCAGGGTCATGAGTTCAAGCCCTGCCAAAAAAAAAAAAAAAAAAAAGTAAAACCTTATGCATTTTCAAAAAGCATACACCACCAGATGGACAAGAAAAAAGGATTCAATTGAAAACTAAAGAAACTACCACATGATTTCATAGTTAGTAGAGAAAAATTAATGACCTTTGTGGGCTCTAGACATTAGGCTTGGGTCGTGATCTCAGGGTCATAAGATCAAGCCCCACGTAGGGCTCTGTACACTCTCTCCCTCTGACCCTTGCTCCCCCAACCCTGTGCTCTCTCTCTCTCTCTCTAAAATAAACAAATAAAACTTAAAAAAAAGTAAGGATTTTAAATATGAATCTTAATGCTGAAGTATAACTCGTGTACAAATTTTATCTTCTGTTAAAATACTTTTCAATCGTGATTATTAGGTTTTAAAATTATATGAGGATTAACAGTAATACTTCCAATAAAATGCTCATGAATAATTACAAATGTTCCTCATGAAACATTTCATTAATATTCAAACATGCAAAGATTATTACATAAAATAATTAAGATTTAAGGAAAATTCAGGACATTACCCTTATTCAATAAAATTTAAAGTACATTTAGTCTTGTTATAAGGGACAGTAGTCTAATATTCTGGCTAATGGCCCTTCAGTGAATAATGCAAACTTTGTTGCATGGAATAAATTGTGGGAACTAGCCACAATTTTTCCTTTTGGGGTAGTATTTTATTATGTTGAATATAACTAGAATAAAGTGAACTCTTATAAGCCGTATTATACCACAAATTCAATTAGCTTCAAGGACAAATCATATGTCCTCTGTAAATAATGATTAAGCTATTTATCTCTTTATATAATCTGCAAAGAGTGTTTTTTTTTTTTCTTTTGGTCCCTCAACTCCCAACATAATGAGATTCAGACTTATTTAAGTAGAAATGATGACATTTTAGTTGTGATAATTTGCAAGGGCAAATGTGCCTTACCGAAGGGACATTATCTAAATTTCATATCATTGTCACAGTATACAATTTCAACTATTTGACGTATATTACAAATTCTTTTTTATTACTTAATCATATAAAATGTACATACCCTTCTTGCAATTAAAAATAGATAATGTGGGGCCCTTGGTGGCTCAGTGGGTTGAGCACCTGACTCTTGGTTTCAGCTCAGGTTGTGATCACAGGGTCGTGGGATCGAGCCTCATGTGGGGCTCCACGCTCAGTGCAGAGTCTGCTTGAGATTCTTTGCCCCTCCCTCTTCCTCCCCCTCTGCTCCTCTCCCCGGCTCATGTTCTCTCTCTCTCTCTCTAAAATAAATAGATGAAATCTTAAAAAAAAAAGATGTTACTAGTCTCCCCCACAGTATGTCAATCTCCAATAAATGTAAAGCCCTAGAGGGGGAATAAAATGGCTTCATGTAACCAGTTTCCCAAACTTCTAAGATGGTAAGACTCACCTAATGGAACTTGGTAAAAACACAAACTGTAAGGCCCCTCTCACTCCACTGAACCAAGTTTCCAGGAGAGAGGCCTGGGAAGAGCCAGGTGTGAAGGCATCCAGGTGATTCTTCTCAGCCGGAATGTTCGAGAACCACTGCTATAAACCATTTTTTATGCTACCACCTCTCCTCTATTACCTTGCTACTCCAGGTTTGCTCCTTGGATCTGCAGCCAAGGTGTCACCTAGAAGTTATTTAGAAATGCACTATCTTTGCCTAAGCCCAGACCTACTGAATCAGCACTTTAAAAAGATCCCAGATGATTTAAGGGCACATTAAAGTTTGAGAAACACATAATACCCTATTTTTATTTCCCAAATTAAAATGTGGCTCTCAGGGCACCTGGCTGGCTCAGTATGTAGAAAGTCTGTGACTGTTGATCTCAGGGTTGTGAGTTTGAGCAGCGAGGATAGAGTTTACTTCAAAAAAAAAAAAAAAAAAAGTGATTCTCTGCCTCTTGCAAAATGCAACTACTCCCTCCCGTTAAATCTTGAAGATAAAATCAACACTGAATTTTGCCTGCAACATGACCGTCCTCGATCACAATGAATCCCTTTTGTCATTTTTTTACACAGCCTAAACTTGACTCTCTTCTAATGTTGGACACTTTCATGAACATCAATCAAAGAATAAACCAATGGTTTAATTTGGGCTCTTGATTTGACTCCTTTCTTGCCCATTCTCACCTTCACACGTCTTGCCGTCACTTCTTAGCACGCGGCCAATCCCACACCCACAGCGATATGAATTTTTCAGGTTTACACAGATCTCACTGCAGCCACCATTGTTTTGCTCACATTCATTTTCATCTGTAGGAGAGAAACCACACCACTTACATACTGCTTGCTGCGCAACTCAATCCTATCCCAAGCCCCTTAGCAGAATCTTCGTATCTTTTCAGAGCCTGTTGATACATCAACTCCTTTGCTATAATCCTTATAATCACTTCCATCAACTTGATCTCAACCAAGTTATTTGTCCATCTGCCCTCTGCTAGAGCAGAAGGCACTTAGTTGCTTGCCAATTCATTCCCTCCTAAGAGCAAAACTGGTGAAATGAAGTGGGTTTTTTGTTTCCTGGATTCACCTATTTTTGTGTATTGGTGAATATCACTTTCTCCAGTGAGTTCCTGAAGATTTGCTAAATTAATACAGACTTATAAACCAAACTGTGTTTTAAATACATCAAAGGAACTCACATCACAGAAGTAAGTAGCTGATAAAAATTTTGTGTGAGGCAGTCTTCTGTTACAACATCAACAACTGCCCTTGAAGTCTATTTTAAATATTGGATAGTATATCCACACTATAATTAAGGAATAATTGTTAACCTTTTAAAGAATAGGATGAAGGATATGGACTCTTGCTATTAAAAAATGCACAGCTGGGCACAAATACCGATGCCCTTCCTTCTACAAAGAAAGAGAAGCTTGGAAACAAAATGTATCATGGCTTGGGGCTGGGATTGGGGTATTGGGATTTAAACACCCATGGGGTGACAGAAGGCATGGCGTTGGGCCCAGGAGAGGAGATGACCTGCAACCGAAACCCTGCTTAAATCCACGACCCCAGAAAAGATATCCCTACAATGAAAGGGGGTGTAGAAGAACTTTGCCCCAAGGCCCATGGACGCAGTAAACAAGCCCTCTCTGAGGCTCCAGGAGAGAGAAAATCCTTTATAAACAACGGAAACCCCAAGTCAGGCCTTGCCATGGTTGAAGTATGAACTTAACTCGAAGCTGAGAAATTGGTATAAAACGTGGCCTGGGCCGATGAAGCTTCCGTGATACTTGACAGAAGCATTTGAAAAACCGCTCTGTAGTCAAACTTCCCCAAACCAGGTGGTCAGGGTGGTTCCACAGAAACACAATTACAACAGAAGGTGGTTTGCCACAAAACACTACACAGGAGGAAATGGTCCACTGTGAGAATGACTTGGCAAGACAACAAATGGGCGGCTTTGAACTGGAGATAACAGAATCATCCAGAAAAATTCATAATGCAAGGATTTTAAAAGTTACTAAACAGATAAAAGAAAGGATACTAACCAAGATAAAAGAAGCGAGCAAAAAGACAAGGCAGAATTGAAACCAAACAAACACAGCACTTGTAGAAATGGAAAATATTTCCATTTCCATTCCACCCAGGGATGCCTGGGTGGCTCAGTCGGTTAAGCGTCTGCCTTCAGCTCTGGTCATGATCCCAGGGTCCTGGGATCGAGTCCCGCGTCGGGCTCCTTGCTCGGCGGGGAGTCTGCTTCTCCCTCTCCCTCTGCCTGCTGCTCCCCCTGCTTGTGCGCTCTCTCTCTGACACATAAATAAATAAAATCTTAAAAAAAAAAAAAGAAATGGAAAATATAGTGGATAAGTTCAGACTCTTCATTGGAGCCCACTACCACCTGGAAAGTGGATGGTGACAGACGTGCCAGCAGCAGTTCTGAATGTGGCCACACACTGTCCCAAGCCTGGGCAGTTTACCTTGAGACCGATTTTTTTTTTTTTTTATGTGAGAGAGTAATACACTTGTACTGCTTTAAGCCATTATTATTTGTGAGTTCATTGTCATTTACAGCCTTAGCTACTCTGTGTCCCAGCCATTCCACTTTTATGGGTATGCTCTAGAGAAAATCTCACACATGGAGTATCATTTTAATGTTAATTTTAAGAACAAAAACAATGCTATCTATTCTTATGGGTACATACACAAATAATAAAAGCATAAAAACACGGACCAGAAGAACACACACTAACTTCAAAACAGTGATTAGTCCTGGAGGGTGAAACAAGAAAATGAAAAAGGAGATGGAGTGAGATGGCTTTATTTGTATTTGTAAAATTTTATTAAAAAGAAAAAGGAAGAAAAAAATTAACAATAGTTAAATCTGGGTATATGAGTTATATTATTTTATCATCCCGGCCAATAATCCTGTTGTATTATTTTCCTTTACTCCTCCCTGATTGAAAACATTTACATAATTTAAAATGAAGAGTTAAAAGTATGTTACATTTTTTTAAGAAATAAAGGAAAACTGACATATACACATTAACACAAAATTTTGCCTTTAATTTCAGGGAATTCATGACGTCCCTGAAACTGACAGACAGATGTCAGGTAGGAACTGAACTGGGGGTTTTCCCCTATGCACTGCTAGGCAATGATGTCCAGGATAAATTGTTAAGCACGAGATGTATATGATATGCAACCTTTGGTGTAAAAAAAGGGCAGTAAATAAACATATATATTTGCATTTTTTATATTTGCCTGAAGAAACCCTTGGAGCATACATAAGAAAATAATATAAGAGATTACATGAGATAGGGTTGGAGAAAGGAGAAATGGAACAAATGGAGGACAGACAGCTAGACATTTCATTGTATACCCTTCACACTATTTAGTTTGGGACCCATCGAACTATCTTACCTAGTCAAAAGTTGTATTAAAATAAAAGCTGAGGAGCACCTGGGTGGCTCAGTTGGTTAAGCGTCTGACTCTTGATTTTGGCTCAGGTCATGATCTCATGGATGGTGGGATGTCGGGCTCCACACTCAGTGTGGAGTCTGCTTGAGATTCTCTCCCTCTGCCCTTCCCCCCACTTGTGGGTGCATGCTTTCTCTCTTCTCAAATAAATAAAATATTTTTTTAAAAAACAACCAAACAAAAAACCCCCCAAAAGCTGTGTAATGAAACAAAGCCTGCCTTAAAATGACGTCAAATATTTTCCAAGCACACCGCGTGTGTGGGTGTGTGTGGGTGTGTGTGTGAGAGAGAGAGACAGAGAGAGAGACAGAGTGAGGGAGGGAGGGCAGTTGGGAAAGATTACAGGACCATCCTCTCCTGTATCCCAAACCTTTTAGCATTAAATCACATGAAGTCCATCATATAAGAGCCCTAACAGCTGGTATGGGAAGGCGTAAACATGCTCCATAGGATGGTCAGTGGGGTTCATTAAGGAGGCTGAAGAACAAAAGCTTTTCTAAAATAAGAATCTTTTTATCTACCTTTCAACCTAATCCCCATTCCATTCTGACCAGTTACTGTTCTTCTTGAGGAGGCGGGTATGGGCCCGTCCTCCCTTTCTCTCCAGATGAGTTTTAAATCTATTTGAGTCTGAATACAAAAGCTTCATAATGGAGAAAGATATGATCTTCAATCTTGGGTTTTTCAACTCTATTTTCTTCCAGTTACAGACAACAACACATGTGTACAAGTAGACAATTCTAGATTTCCTAGAAAATAATCTGACTTCCCTTTCTTGCTACTCAGAGAAACCAAAATTATGTAAGTGAAGTGGTAGGAGTATGTCCTTAGATAACTCTAGACCAAAGTCATCCAAGAGAAATACAAAGCAAGCCACATAAGTAATTTAAAATTTTCTAGTAGTCACATTAAAAAAATTCTAATAATATATTTTATTTAATTCAGTATGTCTAAAATATTTCATCTCAATATAAAATCAATATTAAAATTATTGAGGTATTTTTCCTTCTTTTTTTGAATGAATCGAGCGTGTATTTTATACTTACAGCACATCTCAATTTGGATTCTAAATTTTCATTGGAAATACTTCATCGGTATTTAGAGTCATAAAATTTACAGTTGGTTACTCAAGTTGTCCCAAACATTTTCAGTTTTCCAATGACTGAGCCAAGTATCAGGTTTTAAATTAAAATTAGGTAAAATTTAAAATTTAGTTTTTCAGTCATACCAGCCATATTTCAAGAGCTCCACATTCACACATGGCTAGGGGCTGTTGTACTGGACTATGCAATTCCAGACTGTCCCCACACACGATATAAATTCAGTTTGAGGCTTTAGTCCTGAACTAAAAAAGGCAAACACCATTCTAAGTGTTTAGAGACACAAACTAGAAAACTGACAGAGCTCTGCGTCAGGAAGCGTTTGATGTATCCTTTTGATCCGAATGGCCCGTTCCCACTTCAAGCTTAGTCTCTTACCGAAGCATGTCTGCCTGTCGGGGCCCAGCACCGTCCCTGGAGAGCACATGCACTCACTGGTGTCTACACAGCCGCCATGGCAGTCCTCGTCGCAGATGTCATAAAAATCTGTGGAAGAATGAAGTCGACCTTGCATGAGGGGTGAGGACCAAAGGACACTCTCATTCATGAGAAAGCCTCATGAGTTCAGTCATGAGGTAGGAGTTCGTGGACAACACTGAGAGAGTTCTCATCGTTCAGGGTTTACGTGACCCCAGTGGAAAGAGATACTGCCCAGGGACATCTGTCATTCAGATCAATGGTTCCCAACTTCAGATCCATGGGCGATAGAGTCTCTGCAAATCTAAAACCTCACCAAATATGAGCTGTAGATTAAAGAAGTGTTATGCCCTACTCTTCTATGTACTCTGTTTTTTTAAATGTGTACAGATTTGATGGGATTAATAATACAAAAATTCATTTTCAAATATTCCTGATCTCAAGTAGCTTTTTCCCATTACATATCATTTAAAAAAATCAACGGATACTAAGCACAATACTACCCTATGGATGTCTGATATAGATCTTAAAAAGGGGTCCTCCATACTCAAAAAGGTTGGAAATCCACTATTTAAACCCAAATCAACATTTCATTTTCTAAAGTTTTGTTTGAATGGAACAAAGACAAAATAAAATAGAACTGATCAGAGTTATAGCTCCTCTCCCTTTCTGTTTCTTTAGGACATTTCCGGAAACACAAGGACAGATCACAGAAATCAGAATCTGACGTTATCTGTGGCCCTAAGTCATTATTCAGATTCTGAAATACTACCATAATTGGATTTCCTATGACATTTTCCTGATACCATCTGATGCCTTATGGGGGAGGAAAAAGAGCACAGAGAAGGCACTCACGACCACAGTAGACATGGAAGCAGACACTGGGCTTGGTCAGATGATACACATAGTAGCCTCCCGGGCAAGCCTTGACCTCCACCGTGGTGTTCCAGAGGCAGCAGTTCCCGCTGAAGCTGGCACAGGCCTGGCGTTGCACGATGCCATCACCTTCTAGAGGGTGGCTGCCATTGAGCCAGACAGGTGCATGGGTTCCACAGTGGTTTTCTGGTATGCAGAAGGTGGGCATGGCATCCCCTGCCATGCCTGTGAAGCGGTACCACTCCCCATCCACATGGTTGTCACAAAGAGGGGGACCTTGAGACTCATCGAACTGATGGTCAGTGTTCCTCCATGGTTCATTCAAACTGATGTAAGCGGAACAAGGATCTAGGGCTGGGAATGAAAAGACACCTCAGAGGCACCTTGTGATGTTTCTAATTACAATGGCAATAGCCTAAGTCCACCTTCTTAGTCTTACACTTTGGCTTTTTTTTTTTTTTAAGAAAGAAATAACCTAAAATCCCCCACAGTAGCTATTTAAGATTCTTCAAGTTAAACTTAAACATGTTTTATAAATGCCTTTTACAAAATTATTTCAAATCTGTTTAAGGTTTACCATTACTGTTGGACTAAACTTTTTATCCAGAGTAATCATTTGATAGAAGGATAGTTGTTCGAGACCAAAGGAGGTTAGGATTATAGTCTCACTGAACTCTAGTGGTCAGAAAATATTTTGAATATTGTGTTCACCTGGAAGCTATATTATATGAAAGTATGGATAAACCTGGTGTCCAGAGAAAAGTGACCAGACTTGGAAGGGAGTCAAAATATTATCAACTGGAGAAGAAGCTGAGAACCACGGTTTGGAGAAAAAAAGACTGAAGAGTACGCATCAGTTCTTACAAATCTAGGTATTCTGTTAACAAGAGCAAGAACAGACTGTTGGAGGGGCACATGGGTGGCTCAGTCAGTTGAGCGTCTGCCTTCAGCTCAGGTCTTGATCCCAGGGTTCTGGGATCGAGTCCTGCATCCAGCTCCCTGCTCGGCGGGGGGGGGAGTCTGCTTCTCCCTCTCCCTCCCTCTGCTCATGCTCTCTCTCTCACTCACTTTCTCTTTCAAATAAATAAAAAAAGAACAAACTATTGGGGGAGCACATTTTAGTTCAGCTATGGAGTAATGGAGAGACCTATCACCGTGTTGTAAGTTCATCATCTTTGGAAATTTTCAAAAAGTATTTGGATGGTCATTTGTAAGCAAGACTGTGGATGAAATTTCACACTACTGGAAAGTGTGTCTGGTTAATAAGGCGTCCAGCTCATTCCACTGAAAAGGAAAATGCCTCTGGCACATGTCTGCAGTTTTGAAATACACAGCATACTGGCAAATTATTACCAAAGATATTCTCAAAGTGAATGTTGGTATATACGCCATCAGCTTATTGAAAATATGAACTTTATGTATAAGCAATCAGCCATGGCATCACTATCTATAATAAAGCCAAATTTCTCAAGCATGCATTTTTAGTGCATAAATTGCATGGACAAATATCTCATCAAAAAAAAAATTTTTTTTAATATTTTATTTATTTATTTGACAGAGAGAGAGAGAGAGAGCACAAGCAGGGGAAGTGGCAAGCAGAGGGAGAAGCAGGTTTCCTGCTGAGCAGGAAGCCCGATGCAAGGCTCGATCCCAGGACTCTGGGATCACGACCTGAGCCGAAGGCAGCCGCTTAACTGGCTGAGCCACCCAGGCGCTCCTCTCATCAAAAATATTTTAATGACTACAGACACCAGTAACCCCAATATTCTCACTGTTTCCCTCAATTTCAGGGAAATATTGAATTAATGTAGGGAAATTGTCCTTAGGAAGAGTCTATAAAGCCAAGAAATTCTAGAAAGGAACACTAGCCAGAGTACTATCCTTTGTAATGCACATGAGGCCGACTTACCTGACCTAGCAGGCAGGGAATTCACATTAAGGCTGATACATGTTGTAGGCAGAAAATTTAGTTTTAGCAAATACTGCACAATAATTAAATGTGGATGGGTCGTGATCATAAAGTTTAAGTTGTCTAGAAAATATTTTGGATTTTCCCAGTCTACATTCCAAACTCCAGTTCACTCTCTAAATTCCGTCACACGCAGAGGAGGGTGTAGCCTAGTGCTAATGGCCCCAAAGAGACTCTTGACAGTTGGGGACAGGAAAGAAGCAGGCTATTGCATTTTCTGGAAATAACACATGTGCCGAGTTGCACATGGCAGGAACCACTCTGTCTTTTAAAGTGTCCATGAGATATCCCAGCTGTGCCCTAGACCATATTCAATGTCATTTGAGGGCAGGAAATGTCCTCATACAGACTCCTCCTCTCTCAAAAGGGAAAAATTCCCTCATCTGCTCTCCCAGCTGTGGTTCTCTTAAGAAGCAAGGTTTCCAGGGCAATTTCACAGGTGATTATAAATTCATAGAAATCTTTGGTTGATCTCCTTGGCTCTAATTTTATAAGAAATGGTTAGGTACTCAACTTTTAATGGCTTTTGCAGAAATTCCTAAACCTCCCTCAATAACTATTTCATGATTTGTAAAGTTTTTCCTTAAATTTAACTGTCATTTCTTGTGCCATTTATTAAAAGTTCACTTCCTCTCGTTGAGGGGGGGACATATGGCACAAATAGGGGACATTTACCGACTACCTTCTGTAAAACAAATGTATTTTTTAAGTTCCCCACGCAATATGTTCTAACATTAAGTAACCCATTTCTCTCCACCCCTTCAATCCTTTCATAATCTGGCCACCGGTTTTCTTGTGTTCAGTCTCTCCGAGTGGAGCCTGGAATTGGGTATTATGCATACTGCACCCCAAATTGCTGAAGTACACACTCCTTAAATGCGAGACCTTCAAAAAGAACAGCCCCGTGGGTTCCTTTCAAAGTTGAGTCCGGGCCAGGCCTGCCAGAAAGCTCCCCGGCCTTTACCAGGATTCCTGCCTGGCGGCCCCTCCCGCCTTCCCCCGAACCCGGGACGTGCAGACGCCCGCGTGTCCGCAGGGCCAGCCCCTCGCGGCCAAGTGCGGAGAGCAGACGTCCGCGTCCCTGCCCTTCCGCTGCTCCCAGCCGACCAGGTGGAGGGGAGGCCGCCCCTCGGGCTGGGTCCTGGGTCCGGAAGCTTCCTGTGTTCTTCCTTCTCCCTCCCTTCTCCCTATTCTCCCCCTTTGCTTCCTGCTCCCTCCCCTCCTTTCCTTTCCTTCCCCTCCTTTTCTCTCACTTCCCCTCTCCTCCCAGGGAAGACCCCCCTCCTTGCTCCCCAGCCCCCAAAGCTTTCCCTTTATCTCTGGCATTGAGTCATACGTTCTAGAAGGGCTGCAAAAAATAAATAATATAAAAAAGATCTGGGATGGGAGATTTATGATGGCAACAGGAGGTACTAGAGGGCGAGGCGAGTAAGCAATAAAGAATGGAAAGAAAGGGCAGTGGTAGTTCTGAGGTGGTGGGGGCGACTTTTGCTTCGACAAGTCCTGGCTAATTATTGCAGCAGATACAGGGTGAATAAACTTAGTTCAAGACTCTTTCTAATAGACTTTTTTTTTTTTTAGATCAGTTTTAGATTCAGGGCATACTTGAGAAAATAGTACAAAGAGTTTCCATATACTCAGTGCCCAGTTTCCCCTATTATGAAACATTATACATCGGTGTGGTATCTTTTCCACAATTAATGATCCAGGAATGATGCATTATTATTAACTCAAATCCATAGTTTAGATTTCCTTAGTTTTTGCTTGTGTCTTTATTCCAGGATCCCATCCAGGTACCATATTACCTTAATTTTCACATCTCCTTAGGGTCACAGCCTATTTTTAATGTGTACCCTTGAAGGTGCTGGCGCAAGACCTGAATTATCGTGAAGAAATAGATCAGGGTCAACTAAACAGAGCTACGCAAAAGTGCCAAGAAGGATGGCTCTGTCCGTCTCAACCTCCTCTCACCCTCTCTTTCCATTAGAACTTAAATTCTATTGGAAAAAGGAGAAATGTGTTAGTAACTGGAACTGAAACTTTGTTTTGCCTTCTTGGCCTCTTTTGTGCCAAGACTGAGAAGGGAAAGAGTTTAAGATTCACTCAGTCCATGCAAAAGTCGTATTTTTCAGATGTCCAGACTGAGAAGTTCGATTTATCCAGATCTGTGCCTTTCATGGGGATAGAGCTTTCATTCAGTGCCTTGTATTCATTAAAGAAAAAAACTATCCTCAACTCTAAAGATTATATTTTTGCTCTTAAAGTTGGAATTATAAAAATGCCTATTATATAAAGAAGTTAGAATTCTTCTTACATGTACTCCAAGAAATATTTATCTAGTGGAAAGCTGTTAGCTATGGCAGATCCATGGAAATTCGGGATGCCCAGGCAAGAGGCTAATTGGAACATGAAATACAAATTCTTTGAAAATATATCTGTTGTAGGTTATCACAGGTTTTCTTACACTATTCTAGAACCAGCATTTAAGATACTGGAACCTAGCTCTTAATCTGGACATAATAGCAAATTCCTGCAACAAAATCACGTTGTGCCAAGTACTTGACACAAGACTCACCCATTGGTGATGCAGGTGTGATTGTGAAGAAGAGGCAGGTGAGAAGCAGGAACTGAAACATCCTTCTGGACCAGCCACCAGAACAGACTGGAAATCCTCTTAATTTCAGTTGTCCTTTGTCCCTTTCTTTTTCAAGCACTTTTAAAAAAAAGCCCGCTAGGCTCTTCTGAAAAAAGACTTTACGGTACTGGCTGGGGCTTTATCAGAGGAAGAGGATGAGTGGGATAAGGTGTCCATTGCTCTGGCCTTGACCCCAGATAGAAACACTGCTTTACACTGTCAACAGGGTTATTGATATTTTTCTTTAGGGGGGGGGGAAAAACCCATCACAGTCCCTCATCCTCCTATTGTTTTCTCTCAAGAATTCCCTGCAACAAGGCCTCCAGTATCTTATCCAGAAGGGAACTCTAAATGAGGGACACCCCCTCCTGTCAAAATCTTGTTTTGTGACTTCTAGGAATTAATTTCATGAAGTTGCAGCCCTACCGTTGCTTACGGAATGAGAATGGGATAAAGCCAAATTGTTGCAGCTGGTCATTAGGAAATGTCTTGGTCAGATGGTGAAGGAGTTTACAATAGCACACCAAAAAGTACTAAGGAAAGGTGTGGAACGGGGACGATATTGTCTTGAAGCAAGGTCCTGTGTTCTGTTACGGTGTTTGGTCTCCAAACTTCCTAAAGAAACCAGGTTTAGTTGAATTTTTACCAACTCAAGCAGCAATACCTCATGTTTTCATAGTGCCTTTCTTCCCCCAATTTAAAATGGTTTAGTGTTACTTATTTTACTAATTCTCACACTAAGACAGAGGCAGGGGCTTCGAATTAGGAATGACTCATTAAATTAACAACACTAAAAACGGATGTTTACTAGAATTTCATTTTTAGACAGAAGAGGCAAAATGAAAGGATCTGTATATTATGTGTCCCCAGACAAGGGAATGCCAGCTCCTTGACATTCTATAGTGTGTGGACACCTAAGAATTGGCAAGCACTGTTACTGAACATAATGAGAAGGGGAAGGACAAAAAGAAGGGTAGGGGAAAAAGGTTTTTTTTTTCCCCACCATTTTTTTTAAAAGTAGGACACACCCACCATGGGGCTTGAACTCACGACCCTGAGATCAAGAGTCGCATGCTCTACCAACTGAGCCAGCCAGGCGCCCCAAAAGGTGTTTTTTTGTTTTTTTTTTTTAATACTTTATTAAAGAAGGATCTGAATGAAACCAAAATTTCTCCCTCCTAATCTTACCTTGACCTGATGCTTTGGGCTTCTATCATTCTTATCCTTTCTCTCATCTATGTTTCTTGTTCGAATCAAATTCCTAGTGGCTGGGGAAGGGATATTTATTGTTTTAGGAAGTAGTTCGTAAACTTGTCTTCCTAATCTCTTATCACAATTTTTTCCTATGCTAAGTGGCCTTCAAATTATTGTGGCTCCTTTCCTGTAAGGGTTTCAGTTCAATTAAACATGAGTGCTTACTAGGGGCCAAGTGCAATGCTGTCTCTGGTTTTTGATAGTGATGAAGGTAAAAGTGATCCCCACAAGCAGAGAGTTTACCATGCTCTAGAGTGGAAAGCTCTAGCAAGGGGGTATCTGGTGATCTGAATTTATAGTTGGCCACTTTATCACTAATGCTGGCAGAACACAGGCAACCTGGCCATTTTTAGCTTATTAAGTTGCAATCTGATGGCAGCAGTGGATGATTCTGGGACCAAGGAACTGTCTCATTGCAGTTAAGAGTTAGTGCTCTTAACAGAAAAAACAAAACCCTGCAATTTCCTGTCCCTGAGAAACCATCTGAGTACTTCATACGTGTTGCAGAGGAACAGAGGACGTGTGCATAGATAAACCCAGACTGCTGCCAGGATTGATTGCCAGAGTCAAGGACTTTCACCAGATAGCCCTTTGGTTCTGTAAACAAGCATTCCCAGGATGGTAGGACTTTTTTTTTTTTTTTCTTATTCCTATTTTTTCCTTTTTAGTTGACTTGCCCTCTCATTTTAATTTTTTATGATGAAACATTTCAAATATATACAAAAGTAGAAAGAACAAGAAACACAGCTGCAATTACTAATATTTTGTCAATCTTATCTATACACCAAGATGCATTTCTAAGATAAGGCCTTTTTTACATAACTATGTCATTATTACTACTATGGAAACAGTACCATCTAATACCCATTTCACATTTAAATGTCCCCAATTGTTTCAAAGATTTCTTTGCATTGCTAGTTTGAGTCAGGATTCAAGTAAGAGCCATACATTGCATATGGTTGTGTCTCTTAAATTCTTTTAATCTAGAATGGTCTCCCCTCTTCCCCAATCCCCACACCATTTGTTGAAGAAAGCCAGTCATTTGTCCTATAGAATGTCTCACATTCTAGATTTGTCTGACTGCTTCTTGTGTGTCTTTTAGCGTTCCTTTTCCCATATAATATTAATTCTTGTTCATATTTTCTTATTTTTCTAAAGTATGTGCTACTAGAAATTAAAAACAAAAATACTCTGGTGACACTGAAGGAATTTAATGCACGGGGGCAGGGGAAATTGATCAGTTAGGATATAGGTAAACCAGTCTGCTGTTCAGGAAAGATCTGAGCTTACGTAACAATTTGAGAACTACTGGCATATAAATGGGGGAGGGGAGTGGGTGAGATCATCCATGGAAAATTGGGTCTGAGATGGAACCCTGGAGAAGCCCAACATCAAAGATGTGGGCAGAGGAAGAGGATACTGCAAATGAGACCAAGAAATAGAGAGTTAAAGAAGGAAACCCAAGGGGCGCCTGGGTGGCTCAGTTGGTTAAGCAACTGCCTTCGGCTCAGGTCATGATCCTGGAGTCCCAGGATCGAGTCCCGCATCGGGCTCCCTACTCGGCAGGGAGTCTGCTTCTCCCTCTGACCCTCCTCCCTCTCATGCTCTCTGTATCTCATTCTCTCTGTCTCAAATAAATAAATAAATAAAATCTTAAAAAAAAAAAAAAGGAAACCCAAGAGTAGAGTCACAGGAGCTGAGGACAGTTTCAAGAATGAGGGATTGCTCAGTGGATGATGCATTTATAAAACATATGCAAAGGAAAATTTATAAAGTGGGCCAATTTTATATTCAGTAGAATTCATTAAAGTTAACCTATATATTTATCCCAAGGAAGTAACTATGTAGTACATTCTGGAAGACAAGGAGTTTGTACTTACTTGGGAGAGCAACAAACAAAAGATCGTTGGCAGTAATAAAAATGAATCACAACTAGGGCGCCTGGGTGGCTCAGTCAGTTGAGTGACCGACTCTTGATTTCAGCTCAGGTCATGGGATGGAGCCCCGCCTCCGGCTCCGTTCTGCTTGAGATTCACTCTCTTTCCCTCTTCCCCTCCCCTGCTCTCTTTCTCTCAAATAATAAATAAATCTTTAAAAAAAATGAATAATTTTTTTTTTAGATTTTATTTACTTATCAGAGAGAGAGAGTGAGCGAGAGTGCGCACAAGCAGGGGGAGGGGCAGAGGGAGAAGCAGGCTCCCCGCTGAGCAAGGAGCCCAATGTGGGACTCCATCCCAGGACCCTGGGATCATGACCTGAGCTGAAGGCAGACACTTAACCCACTGATCCACCCAGGCATCCCAGAAAAAGGAAACATAACTCTTAACAGTGAAACTGAGTTCCAAAATCTAAGAAATTCCACTTTTCTGTGAAATCTTTCTAGATTGATCTTAAAAATTCCACCTATTTGTTTTTTTAATTTATCTATTTTTAAGATATTTTATTTATTTTTCAAAGAGAGAGCACAGCAGCGGGGGAGGGGCAGAAGGAAAGGGAGAAACAGACTCGCTGCTGAACAGTCACGCAGGGCTCCATCCCAGGGCCCTGGGATCATGACCCGAGCCGAAGGCAGATGCTTAACTGACTGAGCCACCCAGGCACCCGTTTTTGTTTTTGTGAGCATCCACTATGTGCTCATTACCCTCCTACTGGTAAGCAAGATAGAATAGTACATGTGACATGAGCTCTATTCTTTCCATTTACCATATTCACCATACTCACCAATCCTGTCACTCTGGTTGTTTGGTCATAGGATTCACTGATGAGTTGTGACATAGATGTCCTCTGGTTTAACTAGACCAACGGTTCCCATCAAAATCACCAGAGGGACTTATTAAATACAGATTGCTGGCCCCATGCCTAGTTTCTGATTCAGTAGGGATCAGAGAACTTGCATTTTTAACCAGGAGATACCAGTTGCCGCTCCAGCAGTCACACCATGAGAGAACCCTTTTACTTTGCCAGCTCTAAAGGTCTATTATCCCTTACTTAGCAAAACCGCATTACCTACACTCACAAATGGGTTTAACTCTCCATTATCTATCTCCACTGAAAATTCACTAAAGCCTAACAATGTTGTTGAATATGTAGACGTTATTTGTTGAAATCAAAGAGTGGCTTAACATTTTCAATCTTATCTTCTTACACTTTACTTCTGTCTCAGGGATGTCTGTATTGGGTTGCTATAGCTGCCAGGAGGCTCTCAGTACATCTCGCACTGCACTAAATACAGGAATTTAACATATGCTTTTTGATATGCCTTCAATGGAGTAGGTAGCATGTGATATTTTCCTGTTTGGTGATCATTATTTGATTTGATCAAATTTGATACAAACTCTTAAAAAAATGAGTATTTAATCTTGGTTCATTCTTGAACGGTGTTCTGAAGTCCAGGAGACCACACTGGGCAATCTGGTGGTCGGATAAAATGGAAATCTTCCTGATAATCAGGATATAAGGATATTTGTCTCAGTACTGCCATTGGCTTTATTCTGGCTGTAGAAGTCACTTAACCTCTGGTGGCTCTGGAAAATTAGGAAAATATTGACCATCTTAGATTCAGGAAGCATTAATGAAATGCCTGTTTTTATAATTTTATTTGTTTAATTATTTAATTTATTTATTTGGCAGAGAGAGCGAGCACAAGCAGGGAGGGCGGCAGGCAGAGGGAGGAGCAAGCTCCCCGCTGAGCAGGGAGCGATGGGCTGTCGCTTCCCCTGCTTGTGCTCTCTCTCTCTGCCAAATAAATAAATAAAATCTTTTTTTTTTTTTAAATGCCTGTTTAAAAATACAGGCTCTAGGAACCAAATTTAATTTCAAAATGGTATTTTTATAAGAATTAATTTTAGAAGTAAACAGTTTTCCACTAGAATCACAGGAAAATAAGTTTTGTTGCGTGGTTGTTGTTGTTTTTGGTTTTGCTTTAAAGAATCAGATGCTGTAGTTCAAAAATTGAATAAGTATTTATTGTTCCAGAAGGTACATTGCTTTTTATACATATTTCATAAATGATACAGGATTTTACACATGTTCAATATTTTGCTATTTGTTTAAAGGACTTTCCTCCACATTTTCCTCCCTTGCCTCCCACACACCCTGAAAGAATTTGCTCATTGCACTGTGCTGTTTCTTCTTCAAAACCCTGCACACAAACAGGACAGATGATTTAAAAATAATTCACATAACTTAAGAAAAATAAATGAGGGAAGGGGTTGAACAACTGGGGGGCCTGGAAGGAAGGGGAGACATGCATCCTTTCGTTCCGTCATGCCAGTGGAAGGGGTGGTGGCAGGAGCAGAGCAGTGGCGGTCCTGGAGGGCCTTCAACCTCTGCAAGGCACCTGGAATCTGGGTTTGTCATCGCAAGTGTTTCTTTTCATACACAATGATCCCCAAAAGAGGAAGAAAATGAGAAATAACCTCCCTGCCACAATGAGGAGGGGCGAATCATGTGAAAGAAAAAGCCAATCGGCTGTGTGGCAAGCCTCATCATCCTTTCCATCCTGCCCCCACAGTAGTTAAAAACAGGATATTAGACACGGATTCCTTTGACTCTTCAAGTGCAGATGTCATCTGGAAATATGGTAGAAAATATTTTGATAGAGTATAAGATTAATTCTTCCTTCTCTCAATTTAAGATAAGAAAAAATAGGGTGAAGAGGGTAGGTTGAAGGAAGCCATAGAAATGTATTCCTGTATAAAGATAAATTGCACCCTTTGAGATCCACACACTTGATTTACAACTACTGAAGTGGTGGAGGTGGTGCGACTCACAAACAGTGTGGAAGTGTGTGTCCTTCAAGATAAACAAAGTCTCCAGACAAGGCAGCGCCATCTGGGTGGGCTGGAATGCTGTCACACAAGCAGATTAACAGCAATGAAATTATTCTGGTTTGAAATGGCTACAGAGCCATGATTTTTAGCCAATTTGTAAACCTTACATCTTCCTGATTTGGTAATACAGCTGAACACCCCCCCCCCTCTGATTTCAGTTATGGAGGGAGAGGGGAATATCAATAGGATAGTTAAATAAAGGAGGGAAATTCTGCCTCCTCTTAAAGATTAATT